TAGAAGTTCATTCAAATTCTCTCTGTTACCCTGTCAGGCTGGCTTCGCGAACTGAGAATTGATGCATACACATCAAGATGAAGAGCTGAACCTATCAGAGGTAATCAAATAGTCCATTCAGATGCGGGGGATAAGTTAACACATAGTCGACGGGTAGTCAGAGTGAGTTTACTCACTTTCGCAGGTTGATACTGTGAATTTGCGAATTGATGACTTTTGGTGCTTTCGCATGCGAATTACAACGCGAATTTGCCAGCAGGATGTCTAGTAGGTACTATGGGACATGCATGATTGGAAAGAAGCAGAGAAAAGAGCATATTGAAAGAGTGCATGCTATAGTCTATGGAGTGAGGTGAATAACAGGTTGGGTGAGGGGTTTTTCGGATGAATTGCAAAAATGGGGGGGAAATAATTCAAGGGGTGGGGGGATTATCCCGTTTTGCCGGAGAGGGGGGGGTAGGGAGGGTGAAGAAGGGAACGTACAGTGACGTAGTTGAGTGTGGCACGTGGGGGAAAGCGGCGACCGCCGCTGAAACTGGCGTCGCAAAACTCTTTCCTCTAACTACTTCAGCCTCTCGGTTCTCTTTCAGATTGGCTTCTTGACCTTTGTTTCACTCTTCAATCTCCAAAGATGATAGCACCTCCTCAGAGTCAGAACGAACTTCATCTCCTTGCCTCATCGGCTATCGTCCGCGAACTCATCGCTCTGCACACTGCCGCTTCTTCCTCCTCTCACGAAGGTAAAGAACCCAATCTCGGTCTTCTTCGCAACAGGTATGCTAAGAAGTACGGTCTCAGCGTCGTTCCCAGGTTGACAGATATCCTCGCTGCTGTACCTGACGAATGGAAAGATAGGCTCAGAGGCTGGCTCAAGGCGAGACCCGTCAGGACGGCCAGTGGCGTGGCGGTGGTAGCTGTCATGTGTAAACCTCATCGATGTCCGCATGTGGCTATGACTGGGAACATTTGCGTGTGAGTCTGATTCTTCTTCACTACCACCTGATTGTGTGAAGATAAACTTGGTCTGAATCATAGGTACTGCCCAGGAGGCCCAGATTCGGACTTTGAATACTCGACGCAATCGTACACAGGATACGAGGTGAGCGCACACCCACCCGCGTCATGGTAGCAGGAGCTCATGTCAGCCCACGTCGATGAGAGCTATCCGGGCCAGATATGATCCATACGAGCAGACCAAAGGACGTGTTGAACAACTTAAGGGTTTGGGACACAGTGTGGATAAAGTTGAGATTATGTGGGTATTCAGATTCATTTCTTCCTTCTGTCATCATCGACCATGTGGGTGATGACCACGTGTTCGTGGTATAGATGAGAATAGGAGCTAATGTATAGTCTTATGGGAGGTACTTTCATGTCAATGCCGGAAGACTATCGACACAAGTTTATAGCTGGGCTGCATAATGCACTGAGTGGGCATACGGGAGATGATGTGGATGAGGCTGTCAAGTGGGTCATGAACCATCTTCCGTTGATGCCTCGCAATTTGTACTAGACTCCTTGTCCCTCGTTCCTTTCCACGTAGCTGGTCAGCCCATTCGTGCTTCTCAGAGCTGACTGTCAGGTTTTCAGAGCAGAGCAGAATCAAATGTGTCGGCATTACCATTGAAACTCGTCCCGATTACTGCCTCAAGCCCCATTTGAGGTGAGTCTGCCGGACTGACCCCCTGACGACATCCCATACTCCACAAGCTCGTGCTACAAGGTCCCAATCTACGTTATAAGGAAGATTCCTCACTGACAATCAGTCAAATGTTGCGATACGGCTGTACGCGACTCGAAATCGGCGTTCAATCAGTCTACGAAGACGTAGCTAGAGACACCAACCGAGGTCATACCGTCCGAGCCGTCTCTGAATCTTTTCACATGGCCAAAGATGCCGGATACAAGATCGTGGCACATATGATGCCGGATTTACCGAATTGTGGGACTGAAAGGGATATATGCAATTTCAGAGTTTTC